CAGGAAGGCTGACGTTTCGGGCCCGAAACGTCAGCCTTCCTGCTCCTATGATGCTGCTTGGCCTGCTGTGTTCATCCAGCTCTACGCCTTGTTGTCTCAGCATCAGAGATAACATCTTTTGAATTTGAAGATTACTCACAAACAGTCTCTTCATGTGTCAGATATTCAGCACCAATTCAATCAAATACAACCATTACTAAGACAACTGTTCCTTTTGAGCTTAGTATTTTAAGTACAGTTCCGGTAATGATTGCAAGCCCGGGAGAAAAAGATTGAAGATTCAACCCAAAACTTTCACAATCTGGGTTTAATTTAGTTGAATGGCAGAGAGGCCTTGTGGGGTAGTGTACCTACCTCTGGGTCAGAAGCTTCAGGTACATGTCCTGCTTCAGGACCTGATAATCACAGAAGTTATGTCATAATACATGTAAACAGGTGGATGATCAATCTGTTAACCTTTTTGATAGGCCAATGGCAAGAATGGCTTATAGCTTCCTGTTTCAGCTAGAATCATGTGGTAGCTGCAGCACAAGAGCTTCCTCATGTTTAAGGGTTCCAGGAACAAGGGTTATCCTCATTCTGAACTCTCTCTCTAACGCATGCAGACACACACACACACTCTCTCTCTCTCTCTCACACACACACACACACACACACACGCACACACAGACGCAGATGCACACACACGCACATGCACAGACACACACACAAATGACATTGGGAATGCTAAAGCATTTTTGATACTGATGACCATGCACTGACTCCCTCCAGACAACGCAAGTATATGGACATCTAAAAGGAGGGAATCAGACCCTGCTATAAGACCATAAGACATAGGAGGTAAAAGTAGGACATTCAGCCCATCGATTCAGTTCCACCACTCAATGAAATCACCCTGATCTGATAATACTGAACTCCACTTTCTTGTTTTTTCCCCATAGGCCTTGATTCTCTTCCTCATTAAGAATCTATGCATCTCAGCATTGAATGGGGTTTTAGACCGGGTGAGCACAAAGGGATGTGTAACATTACAAATCTCTGTCACAGGCCAAACCATTTGGCGACAACAGCCAGCACCAAAAAACTTTGTTGAGGCATTTGTATTCTGTTCTTCGAAGTTTTTTTTAACACAGTATGTTGTATAATTCTGTTATTCTCAGTTTCAGGAAAGCAGCCGCCTTCTTCCATGTCTCCAATCATACTAATATCACAGAACAGAAAATCCATCATGACGGTGGGAAGTTCTGGTGGCAGTATGATTATCAGCGCTATTGCACAGGTGAGTGTGTTGTGTGACTGAATTAAGCAAGGTTCATTTTTGCTGCAGGTGTATGAACAGTGTCACCAGAAAACATTCCACTAGCATTCAGTAGGACTATGATTGGGCTTCAGTAATATTAATGAATGAAGATAAAATAGAATAAAGCAAACTATTTACAAATAACAAGCATTTAAAGATTTTGCAACACACAGTAAAATTATAATCTCATGAATTCCAAAAGCACCCCTTTACAGTAACTACATCAGAGAGAATACCCTTCTCTATCACCCCTGAAGGGCTTAATTTAACTTGGTTGCAACTTGCAATATTGAGAGATGATGGTCTCTTCTGGAGCCTTCAAACAACTAGGCTTAAACATTCTCAGCTTCAAATAACCCTTTCAGGGTTTTGACCAAATACTTCTCCTCTGCAACTTTTGCCTTGTGCTCAGATAACCTATTTTTCGAAAAAAATTCTAACTAGCTCCCTTTCTTACACATCCATCTTTAGCCAAACTTCTGTCGAACTGCCCAAATTGAAAGTTAAAAGAAAATTAAACCCAAGCAATGGGTGTTTCTACCAATCGAAAGAAAAAGAAATCAATGGCTGACCATCTCAACTAGAGCCTAATGCACAACAGTTTACCTTATTCTCTGGAGATATTCTCGCATTGTAAACAAAATCCTCTCTGAAAGTCTTGTTCTCTCACACTGCTCACGAACACTGAAAACATATGCCACTAGGTCGAACTTCAAAAATAAGTGATAAGCGTTGGGGCAGAAGTCCTATGGCCGGCCCAGAGTGGCAATGAGGGTAGGCACACAGGGAGGATGGCAGGTTAGAAGGCTGCCTTTGTGCACTGAGTCATCATTCCAGGTGAATTCTTGGTTGTTAGGCTCCTAGCCCTGCCATTTCACACCACCAGTGTTTCCACACACACACCCACAAGCCCCACCATGTATCCTCCTTTCTTTCATTCCCTTTCATTTCTCCTCCAGCCTCCAAAGCATATTCCATGCCTCCTGTGCCTCACATGATTGTCATCAAGGAAACCAACAGGAAACTAAAGGCTCCATCTAGCACCGCAGAACCTTCCCAAGGAGCTTGGGAACCTATAGTTCCTCGCTGCTTTTCCCCATGGCAATACTTTAATCATTCACAAGAAACTTACAAAGCAATCAGCATCCTTTGCATCTGTTGCATAAATTCTTGTGATAGCTTGAAATTTGGCATTTTTGTGTCTGTCCCACTGAGAGCAACACAACAAAAATAATAAATTGTGTAACAACTGCAAGCGGTTCTTGTTGACTGAGTGGGCAGTAATTTGGAACTGAGTGGGCAGTAATTTGGAAGATTGTGTACAAATCTTCACCAGAGAGAAAAAAAAATGTGAAGAACTTGATCCTTACGCCACCAATTACCATTCTGTCTTCAAAATCTGTTTGCCAAACCACCAATTAAAACTCGAATGACAACCTCTTTGTGTGTGTGTGGTTGCACACAGCAGCACATACAGTGTCTGCTGTCTGAATGGATATATTTCTAACATCAAAGTACAAACTTGCTCTGCTCTAATCCCAAAATGTTTTACAATGCCAACGAGGCCCTTCTTGTAGTTGATTATAGGAAACGCAGCAGCATAGACCCACTGCCACATTCAGTATTTATTTTGTTTCTCTCTCTAGAGGCTGCTAGACCTGTTGGTTGCTTATTAGAGGAGAGAGGTTGATGGACATTAAGCTTTGCTGCAGGAGTATTTAGCCTTTTGTATTTCTCTATTGAAACATATGGGCCTTCCCAGAAAAGGTGCAAAAATCTCGATTGCAAACACTCCTGCAGCAAAGCTTAATGTCCATCAACCTCTCTCCTCTAATAAGCAACCAACAGGTCTAGCAGCCTCTAGAGAGAGAAACAAAGTAAATACTTCAAATTCTTTGAGACTTCTTCAGAACTGACCTCCCTAACCACCCTCTTGTCAGCGATGGTTGAAATGGATGATCCCTTGTCACTGACTCCCTAACTGGACATAAAAGGAAACCACCTTTGCTGGAAATATTTACCCTCAGCATTAAGAAGGTTGATTGCCATAGAGATGATAGTGTTTTCTGTTACTGCTGTTGCCCTTTGTCTCTCCCTCTGTATATCCTGTGTATAGCGTGTTTGTTGAACTGAGATTGATTTCTCTCCTCTTGGCTTGCAGATCATTATGAACAAGTTATGGTTTGGGCTCAACATGAAAAAGGCAATTGAGAAAAAAAGATTATATGTGAATTCATCTAATGTCTTGCAGTTTGAAGAAGAATTTGATAATGTAAGTTTGACTATAGAAGATTGTAATGTGTGTCTAAGGTTTACAACTTTGAACCATAAACATTGCCAGTTAATGTTGAAGACATAAGTGAATTGCTTATCTTTAGCATTGTGAAACGACATGATCTAGAAATGGGACTTCATTTCCTGATCTACTCCCTCGGGTAAAAAATACCACCGTATCCAGGGAGCTTCCATACTCGCCCTTCTCTCTAAGCTCCCCCAGACCCTGGATTTATCCCTTAGTGGATTCTCTGTGGGTATCCTTCGGTCACTGTTGATATGGTATTTTGATGCAAACCATTTAAGGATAATTTGTGTGAACTTCAGCTTTCCAAGAGGAAAGCAGAGTACCTACATGTCTGCAGTGGTGTACTGTAATGTAGTGGGTAGCACTGAAATCTTGCAACAAGCTGTGAAATAATTCTATAAATCTGGCTATATGTGGGTGACACCTAGAAAAAAAATCGTAAATCTTGTCTGACTGTTATAGAAACCAAAGTACTTCCCTAATGCCCTTCAGGAAGGATCTGGAATTTGTCATCCTCCACCCAATATAGTCTCCATGTGGCTCTATGTCAGAGTACACCATTCGCTCATCTTGTCTTTCTCAAGAGGTGTAGCAAAATGGAGATAGCAAGAACTGCAGATGCTGGAGTCAGAGTTAACACAGTGTGGAGCTGGAGGAACACAGCAGGTCAGGCAGCATCAGAGGAACAGGAAAGTTGACGTTTTGGATTGGAACCCTTCATCAGGACTAACCCTAACCCCAACCCAACCCAAAACATCAACTTTCCTGCTCCTCTGATGCTGCCTCACCTTCTTTATCCTTTAATCATTCATGGGATGAGGGTGTCGCTGGCTAAGCAGCATTTATTGTCCATCCCTAATTGCCCAGAGGGCAGTTAAGAGTCAACCACATCACTGTGGGTCTGGAGTCACATGTAGGCCAGACCAACTAAGGATGGCAGTTTCCGTCCCTAAAGGACATTAGTGAACCAGATGGGTTTTCCCCCAACAATCGACAATGGATTTATGGTCATCATCAGATTCTTAATTCCAGATATTTTATTGAATTCAAATTCCACCATCTGCTGTCCCCAGAACATTATCTGGGTCGCTGGATTAACAGTCCAGCGATAATAACGCTAGGCCATCACCTCCCCTGTGCTGTGTTCCTCCTGCTCCACACTGTATCGACTCTGAGGTGTAGCAAGATATTCAGTTAGATAAACAATTGCTACAGTCCACTGTCACTGTAATCCTACAGCAGTAAATAAAAAATAACCTGATCCTCGGAATGTGGTGGTACAAGATGCACAGATGGATTAAGTAGTAAATGCTGATGACTACAGACGCAACCTCCTCAACCTTTCCACATAAGACAGTCTCTCCATACCTGAGATCAGCCTAGTGAGAATCTTCTCTGAACTACCTCCAAATATCTTTCCGTAGATAAGGGGTCTAAAATTATTCACTATGTTCCAGCTGTGATCTGAATGTTGTATTATTTTGTTTTCGCAAAACCTGTCTATTTTTATACTTTATTTTCTTTGGAATAAAGGCCAACATTTTATTTGACTTTCCTATTACTGAATAAATTTAGATGCTAGCTTTTTGTGATTCATGCATGAGGATTCCCAAATCTCTGTGTGCTGTAGCTTTCTGCAGCCTTTCTCAGTAAATGATATTTAGTTTCTCCATTCTTCCTGCCAAAGTGCATAACCTCACATTTTCCCACATTATATTCCATCTTCCTTGTTTTTGCCCACTCACTCAAAATGTCTATATTCCTGTGCAGACTCTGTCATCCTCACCACTTGCCTTCCCAACTATTTTATGTCATCTACAAACTTGGCTATTGTGTATTCACTTTCTTTAATCAAATCATTATTGTGTATCATAAATATATTTTTAAGACAGCAATAGATTATTTATGATCAAGGGGATGAAAGATTATTGGGGGTGTGCAGGAATGTAGATTTGATGTTAAAATTAGATGGAACATGATCTTATTGGTTTGAATGATTGATTTTATTGTCCCATGTACCGAAATACGGTGAAAAGCTTTGTTTATGAGCGGTACAGGCAGATCACAGCCAGCAAAGGACGTACAGATCAAAAAGACTTAGAGGCATACAGGTTACATTGCAGGTTACATTATTCGAGGCTAGAGTCCATTCAGCAGTCTGATAATGGCCAGGAAGAAGGTGTTCCTGAACCTGCTGGTGCGTGTGTTCAGGTTTCTGTATCTTCTGCCTGATGGAAGATGCTGCAGGCGGTCATTACCAGGCTGCGATGGGTCTTTGATGTTGGCAGCCTTCCCACTGCAGTGAGCCGTGTAAATAGAGTCCATGGATGGAAGGTTGGCTTCCGTGATGGTCTGGACTGTGCACACCACCTTCTGTAGTATCTTACGGTCCTGGGTAGAGCAGTTGCCGTACCAGGCCGTTGTGCACCCGGACAGTATGTTTTCAACGGTGCATCTGTAGAAGTTGGTGAGGGACTTTATGGACATGTCAAATTTCCTGAGCCGCCTGAGGAAGAAGAGGCATTGTTGTGCCTTCTTCACTGTCATATATTTACACGGGAAGTCTAGGACAGGTCGTCAGTTATCATTACTCTGAGGAACTTGATGCTCTTTACTCTCTCAACCTCAGTTCCGTTGATGTAGATGGGGGCATTTTCTCCTCCTTTCTTTATTAAACCTTTCTCTCTATACATCACCAGATTCAAAATAGCCTGATCCCTGGTTGTATCCACAATGTATTGTTCTAGGAAACTATCCTGAGCACACACTATGAATTCTTCTTCATGGTTACCTCTGCCAGTCTGATTATCCCAATCTACATTAAGATTGAAGTCTTTATTATGTGCCATCATTATCCCCTGGTTTATTCTCTGACCCACCATATAGCTACGTTAGGGGGACCTAGTGATGACTCCTACCAGTGTCTTCTTTCCCTTTTTATTTCTTACCTCCACCAATATGGATTCTATGTCTTCTGATCCAAAATCATTTCTTGTTATCGTATTTGTTTCATCCCGTACGAACAAAGCTGCCCCACCACCCTTTCTATTCTGCCTGTCCTTTCTAAAAGTCAAATACTCCTGAGTATTTCATTCCTAGCTTTCATCTCCTTGTAATGTTGCCTATGCGATGGCTGTAAGATCACATCCATTAATCTGTATTTGTGCTGTTAATTCATTTACTTTTTCTGAATACTCACGCATTCACGTAAAGAACCATTAATTTTGCCTGTTTACGAATTTTTCCCCTTTTCATCTTATTTACTGCTTTTCTTTTATCTTTGTATACTCTGTCCTTTCCTGTTCCACTGTGGGTCTTATTATCCAAGTTGCTATCTTGTAGTGCTGACATGTTCTCTCGCTTTGTAAATCTACATTTCCCAGGCCTTCCACATGGTCTCATGAGTTTAAAACTCTCTCTACAGCCCTATCCATCAACCTGACCCTTTATAGCACCTACACCAACTTAGTATGAACTAATGCCAACCCATGTCCACCACACTTTACCCTTTTCTCTCTACCCGCTCTCAACATACCTCACAGGTCAGGCCAATGTACAATAATATTATGCATCGATTGGTTGTCACTATTTAACAAAATTCCATTTATTAAAAACTATTAATTTAATCTTATTTTCCCCTCTGATCTCTTATGAAAACAAACAGTTATATTTGAAGTTCCTTGATGGCTTTGATAATTTCATTATTTAGACAATGTGAATTCATGTCTGTTTTTAATAACTGACACCCTTCCCAGTGAAGCTCACCAGACACCACTGTCAACACCCTCTCAAGGGGGGCTTCAGATCTCCTAAAGAGTACCCTGTGTTAAGATGCCAGCTGATAGTAATACTGGACAAGATTGATTCCAGAATGAAACTTGGCTGGATAGATCATCTATTTAATTTTTAAAGTTGGCTAACACAAGTGAGGGTGGCACAGTGGCTCAGTGGTTAGCACTGCTGCCTTACAGCACCAGGGACCTGTGTTTGATACCACCTTCAGCTGACTGTCTGTGTGGAGTTTGCACATTCTGCCCGTGTCTGTGTGGGTTTCCTCCGGGTGCTCTGCTTTCCTCCCACAGTCCAAAAATTAGTCCAAAGGTTAGGTGGATTAGCAATGGGAAATGCATAGTTACAGGGATAGGGTAGGGAGTGTGGGTCCATGTAAGATGCTCTTCAGAGGGTTGGTGTGGACTCAATAGGCTGAATGGCCTGCTTCTGCACAGTAGTGATTCTATGAAGAGTGCACAACAGTAAGGAAACAGGCAAACAATGTTACATATATATTTATAGCAAGTTGAAAAGATCTTAACATAAGCATGAAAATCAAGTTTCAACCTGTTTCCCAGTACTATCCATTACAGTGACTCAATTCCAGAGAAATATCACTCTGATCTCAGCTTTTTAAATCTTTATTTAATTGATGTTTTCTAGTTTCTTGCCCCTTGGACTGCAGAGACTTTTTTTTTAAACAATTCCTTTCCCAGTCTGATGGCATGTACCTCTCTCAGTTCTGATGGCCTAAACTTTCTTAGCTCTAACAACCTAAGGATTTCTGTCCAAACTGTCCCGGTATGGAAGCTTCACAGAGCGGAAACTATGCCTGCTGAGGTGGCTGGTTCCTCTGAACTGTCCTGGGGAAAATTTTGGTTCCCTAGCGAGGAGAAACCGCTTTACCTTTGGAAGTGAACTCCAGATTCATCTGAAAGAACTTTGAGCCTCCTGTTCTTTAGTCAAGACTCAACAAATTGCTTGAATTTGGAGTCATAGAGATGTACAGCACAGAAACAGACCCTTCAATCCAACTCATCTGTGCTGACCAGATATTCTACATTAATCTAGTCCCATTTGGCCCATATCCCTCTAAACCTTTTCTATTAATATACCCCTCCAGATGCCTTTTAAATGCTGTAATTGTACCAGCCTCCACCACCTCCACTAGAAGTTCATTCCATACACACACCACACTCTGCATAAAAATGTTGCCCTTAAAACTCTTTTAAATCTTTCCCCTCTCACCTTAAACCTATGCCCTCTAGTTTTGGACTCCCCTACCCTGGGAAAAAGACCTTGACTATTCACCCCACCCATGTCCCTCATGATTTTATAAACTTCTATAAGGTCACCCCTCAGCCTCTGAAGCTCCAGGGAAAATAGCCCCAGCCTCTCCATAAAGCTCATCCCTCCAACCTGGCAACATCCTTGTAAATCTTTTTTGAACCCTCTCAAGTTTCACAACATCCTTCCTATAGCAGGGAGACCAGAATTGATGTAGTATTCCAAAAGTGGCCAAACCAATGTCCTGTCAAGCTGCAACATGACCTTCCAACTCCCTATACTCAGTGCACTGACCAATAAAGGCAAGTGTACCAAATGCCTTCTTCACTACCTATCTACCTGCAACTCTGCTTTCAAGGAACTATGAACCTGCACCCCAAGGTCTCTTTGTTCAGCAACACTCCCCAGCACCTTAACGTTGAATGTATAAGTCCTGCCTTGGTTTGCCTTTCCAAAATGCAGCACCTCACATTTATCTAAATTAAACTTCATCTGGCACTCCTTGGCCATTTGGTCTTCTGAGCTAGGACCTGTTGTAATCTGAGGTAACTTTCTTTGCATCTGAATGGGTATATGAATAGGAAGGATTTAGAGGGATATGGGCCAAATGCTGGCAAATGGGACTAGATTAACATAGAATATCTGGGGGTTAGCATGGATGAGTTGGACCGATGAGTTTGTTTCCACACTGTACATGTCTATAACTCTATACTCTAAATGAAAGCATTACACCACCAATCTTGGTGTTATCTGCAGACTTACTAAGCATACCTCCTATGTTCAAATCCAAATAATTTATATAATGTATTTGCCTGTAACATTTATCCATTAACACTACTGGGGTCTGCTAGACAGTTGGCTGAAGTCATATGCCTTTGTAGATGTATTTAGATCACTATTACAAATAAACTTTCTGACCTTTATAAAAACAAATCTTTACAGAACTACTTAAAATCTTTAAGACTCTATTTTAAAATCCAAATTCCAAAAATGATAGTGGATACCTTTCATTGCACCAACTATCCAAAGTAAATTAACTGAAACAGACCTGCACTGAGTGAGTGTCCTCTGTGCACACAGGTTCCAGACAGCAGGGATCCCAAAATTTGGGATTTAAATGGAGACAACTGACCATTTAATGTGAACTGCACATGCGTGAACTTAGGACCATCCCAAAACCTGCTCCTTCAGAATTTGGAAATGATGTAATCGACAGCCAGACTTGCAATTTTGAGGGGATATTTCACTTTCAGAGTGATGGATAGGGTCCTGGCCTTGGAGTCAAGTTCATCTTAGACCTGCGACCATCCCCTTCCCCCACCCTAAGGGCTGCAGTTTGCCCATCTTAATGAGAGTCTTTAAACCCCTCCCATCTCCATCCCCACAACCACATTCTACACAATATGAGCTAAATACATTCTTATGTCCCCTGTGCGTGCAAGTTCCCCATAAGCCAGAAAAACCTTTTGTCAAGAACAAGTGATCCGAAAATAAGGCCAAAGGCTTTTGCATTGTTATTAAAAAAAAGGCTTGTTTATTTTTCTGGGCAGACTGTCATTGAAGCATTGAAGAAGAAAAACCATCGTATCAATGACTCTGCGATTCAGCTGACATCTATTATTCAAGGAATATTTAAAGATCAAGCCTGCATCGAAGCAGTGTCAGATACCAGGAAACATGGAAAATCTGCTGGCTACTAGCACTTCAGGTCTGGACGTCACTTCAGATAAACCAGACGACTTCCCCTGACAACAAAGATGTAGTGTTTAACTTTCTATCCTCGAATCTGTGCCAGACAGTGTGGGAAAGCTAGACTGCATCTACCATTTGGTCAGTAAGGTAAAGCCTCAACTTGCTCAAAAACATGAAACATCAATCACCGAGCAACCAGGCTGCCTAGTGAATCCTGAGCCTTTTTGGACAATGAGTTTGAAATGAACCGAGCTGAGTTTTTAATTGATAAATTAGAAAGAGGTTGTTGAAAAAGATGGGGCCAAGGTTGTTCTACATCACAAATCAGAGTGCCATATAAGTCAGTCCAATATTGACACTCGGTGGTGAAAGAGATAGTTATTTTGTGTATTACACATTTAGCTTTAATGTAGCGCATATTGATAAGACTTGCTTCCTTTTACAATAGTAGTTACATATCATTCCAACTGTGGTTTTAATGTCATTTTTAATTGGGAAGGAAGAGATTTGTCAATCTTAAAACAAGTCAGATCCATCTTGTAGCATTTTTCTGTTAAGTACATGCACTCAGTGTAAGGTAATTATGGGAACAATGATAACTATAGGATTACACTGTGAAGCTCTGGATTAACACTGAAGTTAACCCTTAAACTGGACTGGCAAAACTTCTTGGGCTAGATTGAACCCGGAGTCTGGATGCCAGGACAGCATTACATTGTCGGTTGATTGAGAGCTCGAAGATGAATTCATTATGTAATTGCAAAAATGTTACCGACCTAAAACCAGCCATTACTGATGGGATTGGAATCTAATTAAAGTGGTAAATTTGGATTTAACCAGTTATGAACTGTGATAATCTAATGTTGACTAGTCTACAGTGACACTTTGATTGAGAGTTTGTGTATTACTAAACTGTGTGCTACAAAGACTGTGTCTCTTGGATTGGATTTTAATGACCCAGCACTGGTTGTTTGGAATTGGAAAGGGTGGGGTTGGCCCAGTACAATGTAGTTAGGGCTGTGTCCAACCTGTCTCCCAATGAAGGGCCAATTGAGTGCTTCATCTTGCCCCTACCAATATTTTACCCACCCAGGTCCACAGAAGTGAGTAGCTCTACAGCTTTCATTGCCTAGCTTTACATAAGCAAGGAGGCAATTTTGAGGTCTGTTACGTACCTTGGAGGAAAACCCTTAAGAGGTCACACCCCTCCCCTTTAAACCTTGCCACCCTCCCCTCTCTGGGGCTGCTGATACACTGACGTTATCGGACTCCCCAGGCTCCATTTCCTCCTCATCTTCAGGCAATGACCACTCCTAGGACTACAGAGCTGTCAGCCAGTGAGAATGTCCAAGACAGGGCTCCATCCCCAGATAGGATTGAAAGTCTCAATCTGAGTCAGTTAGAAACATAAAATACCTGCTGGGTTTTACCAGTTTTTTGGTGGGTGTGGTGGTGGGGGAATGGGACTCCTGACTGTCAGGGTTCCGGGGAATACATTAAATCAAAACTCTTTTTATTTTCCTGATGTAGTCACTGTGGATGGGTCAAGGTACATACTGACTTTCAAATTTTGAAATCAGCGTTGTTCAGCTTCAAACGCGAGCTGTAGTTTTTTTAAATTTGTTTTATTTTTGCAGGCCTATTATGTTAATGAGTTTCAAACTGGAATAAAGCATTCCATTTGGCACATGCACTGGGCACTGTATAATCCAAAAACAGGATGGGGAATAAAGTCTTTTTACATTGTCAGAACAAAGTGTCTGTCTCAATTGGAACTGTCCCAAGACCAGTCCTGCCCTTACTGAATAAATGGAACATGTTTCATTTCCCATACGAGCTACCTAACCATTTTCCTCAATGCCACTGCCAGTTAGACTGGTGGTTTTTGTGCAGGGAGCTCATGCCAACTCGAAGTTAGTTGGAAACCAGCCAAGTTTAATGGCATAAGACTTTAGAGCAGTCAGAGGCTTTCACTCCATTGAAATTAGCCCTCAAGTTTGGTCAGGCTCCTTTTTAAGTCCAAATTGCCTCACTGAGAAGTTGCGACTTGGTGTGGATGGAGCAATTGTAGGGCTGTGACAGTGATCTGTGAAAATAATTGTTCACTCAAAAGCCCAGATTGTCAATCACCTCTTTGAGGTTCATTTGGATTTGTCACCCTCCAGTGGTCATAGCATAAAATATCTCAGATGATGGTCTAAACTATGCACGTACCATGAAGTCACAGAATCATTGAATCCCTACAATGTGGAAGCAGGCCATTCAGCCCATTGAGTCCACGCTGAGGCCCATCCTCCTCCTTTATCCCAGTAGACCTGCATTTCCAATGGCTAATCCACATAGTCCACATAGCCTGCACATTCCTGGACACTGTGGGCAATGTACCATGGCCAATCTACTTAACCTGTACATCTTTGGACTGTGGGAGGAAACCGGAGCACCCAGAGGAAACCCACACATACATTGGGAGAAAGTGCTGTTAAATTTTTTTTACCAAGCTGTTACTATTCCTAGTTACTTAACAGGAGCTCATGGAAACTTAACAGCCAATATGGTCACTTTAGTCCATTTTCCTCCTCCTTACTCTTTGAAGGCACTCGTACTCAGATCCTTTTTTGCCTTGTAATTCCTTCATTCAACTCGAGTACCTGTCCAACTACCTTTTCAGGTAGAATATTCCAGATCTAGACAATTTAGGAAAAAAACTGTCTGATCTCTAAATGTTTTGCAGTGAGTTAAACACCAGCGCCACCCCCCCCGCCCCCGCCACTCCCATGACTCTGTTCAGCCTTAATTCTGAAACTAGTACACTGTTACTAGTGATGTGTTACATCAGTTACTCCTTGCTCAACAAGATGCAGTAAGATTTTTACTGGAATGGCAAGATGCAGCTAGTTATTCCTGTGTTTTTTTTTTACAGGATTGTGTTTTACATAGAGCAGTACATCACAGTACAGGCTCTTCGGCCCATGATGTTGTGCCGACCTATTATCCTACTAAGATCAATTTACCCTACAACCTACCCCCTGTTTAGGGGGATGCTAGCTGCATACTTAATGGGGAAGCGCAAAATCACTGATGGCAACTTCTGCATTCTACATTTAACTGCATATATATATACTTGAGACATTGCAGTCGCTTTCAGAGCTGTCAAATGATGTCATATGTTGACTGTTTTTTTGTCACTACCACTGCAAAATTGGAGCGAATGTGATTAGCCCACAGCATGAAATGTAATGGTTCCAGAATTGGCACTGTATTCATGTGTAAAATTATTCTATTTGCACTGCAAAAAGCTTGTATTCTATTATTTTCTTTCTAAAGGAGTCGCTAATGCAAGAGTAAAACATTGCAGATGCTGGAAATCTGAAATAAAAACACAAAATGCTGAGAAAAACTCAGCAGATCTAGCAGCATTTGTGGAGAGAGAAACCGAGTTAATGTTTCAGACCAACAAACAACCTTTCATCAAAACCTGCCAAATATTTTCACCAAAGAGTTGCTGACTTCTTCCCAGATTATCCTTCCAGTATATAAAAAACTACTGAGTGAGATTTTCTAAAATGTAATATTTCTCTTCTGGAATAAGCTAATTCATCGAAAACATTTCCACTACTTTACCTTGAAGGTAAAAACAACCAAAAACAAAACCACAGGCTTGTTTGTTTTACACAATGGGAATCTTACACCTTATTTGAATGTTAACAATGCTTTGTTGAATACTTTCCTCATTGTGACAGCACTCATGTTCTGGCAATGGCATCCAGCCTTCCACAGGGTCGTCTGACCATATAATTCCACACACAAATCAAATGGGTATTACACCACTGTCTCATTAAATGTCCAAAATATGTAATTAAGTGCGATGGTATGCTTGCTAGAAACATGAACTGAAGATTCTGAACCATAGGCATTCAATGTGAGTTAAAAAGAAAATCCAAAGATTTTTTTTGTTACAGTTGAAGTGTTTTGTTATTAATTTTCTTGTATATACATATCATTGCTGAAACTGTATACATACATGTTATTCCTGTGACATTTTTAGTTTTTGTTGTTATTGTGACTATCTAATCACCCATTACTGCTGTAAGTGCTGTGAATGTTATTGTTGAGATTGGCCAGAGTGTTCATAGTTTTTTTTAATCAATAATTCCAGTTTGGATTATGAACGTTTGTTTCTTATTTACATTCAATAAAAAATTTTATCTATAAATTTATGTATTTTCTGCAGGTATTGAGTACTTGATATTAGTAAATTAGTAACTGATAGATAAATATGTTAAATGGAATTTCTCCGTGGGTTAAACTCAGTAGGTGCTGAGTGATTCACATTTGCTTACTTATTAAATTACTTATTACAGATATGACCCAGCACCATTTCAGTTTCTGGGAGATTTATCCTCCCTTTATGACTTCATTTTGTGAAAAAAAATATTTAAAGTCTTCGGCTGTGTTAGTAACACTTTTTTCTTGCACAATATTCAAATGCTGACCAGGGGCTGGATTCTTAAACTTGCGATGCGGACAGGCACAGGGTTTTGCACTGATGTCCATCACCTCAGCTCCCCGGTTACTTTCCTGGAGGCCGATTGGGAGAGGTGGTTGGGCAGAAGCACCAGTTTGAGTAAAAAAAGATCCTTGTGTTACAAAAAGTTTATTGTCTTTCTTATTTTTCTCCACAGATGTTGCCAGATCTGCTGAGTTTCTCCAGCAATTTACACAATACAATATATTACAGCACAGGAACAGGCCTAGCGGCCCACCTGCGCCTATTCCTACTCCTTATTTAGACTCACTACTTTTAAAAAAAAACCAAAAGAACTGTGGATGCTGTAAATCAGGAACAAAAATAAGTTGCTGGAAAAGCTCGGTAGGTCTGGCAGCATCTGTGAAGAAAAACATCAGAGTTAACATTTCAGGTCTGGTGACTCTTCCTCAGAACCCACTACTTATTGCCCATACACAGTTTCTATCCCTCTGTTTGCCTCCGATTCATCAAGGTATGCCTTAAACGTTGCTAAGGTGCCTGCTTCCACCGTCTCCATTGGCAGTGTGTTCCAAGCACTCACCACCCTCTGTGTGAAAAACTTTCCCCACACATCTCCCGTAAACGTCCCCCCTCTCATTTTGAACCCGTGCCCTTTTGTAGTTGACCTTTCCACTCATCATAATTTTGTAGACCTCCATCAGGTCACCTCTCAGCTCTATCTCTCCAACCTCTCCTCATAAACCCTTCCAGACCAGGCAACATCCTGCTGAACCTTCTCTGCACCCTCTCTAAAGCATCCACCTCCTTCTTGTGAGAGATAGTAGGAACTGCTGATGCTGGAGTCTGAGATAACAAGGTGTGGAGCTGGAGGAACACAGTAGGCCAGGCAGCATCAGAGGAGCAGGAAAGCTGACGTTTCAGGTCTGGACCCTTCTTCAGAAATGGGGGAGGGGAAGGGGGCTCTGAGATAAAGCAGGAGGCGATGATAGAAGGTGATAGAGGAGCAGATAGGTGGAGAGAAGACGGACAGGTCAAGGAGGCAGGGATGAAGCCAGTAAAGGTGAGTGTAGGTAGGGAGTTGGGATGGGGGTTAGTCAGTGAGGAGGGAGGAGCGGGTAGGTGGGAGGGAAGACAGACCAGTCAAGGATGTTGGGATAAGGCTAGTAGGTGGGAAGTGCAGGTGGGGGTGGGGTTTGGTCCGTGAGGTGGGAGGAGCGGATAGGCTGGAGGAACAGCACCTCATATTCCGCCTGGGAACCCTGCAGCCCAATCGTCTCAATGTGGACTTTACAAGCTTCAAAATCTCCCCACCCCTGACCTCATCCCAAGACCAGCCCTTCTCGTCCCTGCCTCCTTGACCTGTCTGTCTTTTCTCCCACCTATCCGCTCCTCCCACCTCACGGACCAACCCCCATCCCCACTTCCTACCTACTAGCCTCATCCCCGCCTCCTTGACCTGTCCATCTTCCCTCCCACCTACCCGCTCCACCCTCCTCACTGACCAACCCCCATCCCAACTCCCTAACTACGCTCACCTGTTATGGTTTCATCCCCACCTCCTTGACTTATCCGTCTTCTCTCCACCTATCTGCTCCTCTATCCATCTTCTATCATGGCCTCCGCCCCCCTCTATTTATTTCAGAACCCCCTTCCCCTCCCCCATTTCTGAAGAAGAGTCCAGACCCGAAACATCAGCTTTCCTGCTCCTCTGATGCTGCCTGGCCTGCTGTGTTCCTCCAGCTCCACACCTGGTGCTCACCTCCTTCTTGTGGTGTGTGACCAGAACTTCATGCAATATTCCAAATGCGGCCTAACTAAAATTTTTTACAGCTGTAACATAACTTGCCAGCTTTTATTTTCGATTCCCCAGCCGATGAAGGCAAGTGTGCTGTATGTCTCCCTGGCTACCTATGTTGCTATTTTCAGGGATCTGTGGATCCGTACACCCAGATCCCTCTATACGTCAATGCTCCTAAGGGTCTGCCATTTATTGTATAATTCGCATTTGAGTTTGATCTTCCAAAATGCATCACCTCGCATCTGTCTGAACTAAACTCCATCTGACATTTTTCTGCCCAAATCTGCAATCTATCTATATCCCACTGTATCCTTTGACAATCCTCCTCACTATCTGCAACTCTACCAATTTTGGTGTCATTCACAAACTTACTAATCAGACCACCTACATTTTCTTCCAAATTGTTTATATGTATTACAAACAACAAAGGTCCCGGCACTGATCCCTGAGGAACATCAGTAGTTACTGATTTCCATTCTGAAAAACACCCTTCCACTGCTACTGTCTGTCTTCCATGACTAATCCAGTTTTGTATCCATCTAGCCAGCTTACCCCACATCCCATGAGACTCTACCTTTTGTACCAGCCTGTCATGAGGTACCTTATCAAATGCCTTACTAAAGTCCTTGTAGACAATATCCATTGCCCTTCCCTCATCAATCATTCTTGTCACCTCAAAAAACTCAATCAAGTTGGTGAGATATAACCTTCCCCACACAAACCAATTCTGTCTATCACTAACAAGTCCATTTGCTTCCAAATGTGAATAAATCCTGTCTCACAGTATCTTCTCCAACAGCTTCCCCACCACTGATATCAGGCTCACTGTCTGGTAATTACCTGGATTATCTCTTTCCCTCCTGAACAAAGGAACAACTTTGGCCATTCTCCACTCCTCAGGAACCTTACCTGAGGCCAAAGAGGCTGCAAAGATATCCATTAAGACCCCAGATATTTCGTCCCTTGCCTCCCATTGTATGCTGGGGTAGACCACATCTGGCCCTGGGGACTTTTCTGCCTTAATACATTTCAAGACACCCAATACTTCATCCTTCATTATGTTGACCTGTTTGAAAGTATTCATACACTTTTCCCTAACCACAACATCCCTCATATCCCTCTCTTTGGTGAAGACCAATGTAAAGTACTCATTAAGGATCTTACCTATTTCTTCTGGCTCAACACACAACCTTCCTCCTTTATCCTTAAGTGGGCCTACTCTTTCCCTAGCTACCCTCTTGCTCCTAATATATGTATACAATGCTTTGGGATTGTCCTTAACCCTGCTGGCCAAGGACTTTTCATATCTCTTTTAGCCCTAACTCCCCGTTTGAACTCCTTCCTATTTTCTTTATAATCTACCTCAGGTATGCTTCCACTTTTTTTTTGACTAAGCTGATAATTTCCCCGATCATCCAAGGTTCCTGAATCCTGCCATTCCTGTCTTTCGTTTTCACAGGAACATGCCTGTATTGCATTCAAATCAATTGGTCTTTACAGATTCCCAAAAGTCAGATGTGGATTTACCTTCAAACGGCCTTTCCCAATCCATATTCTCTAATTCTTGCTTAATTCCATTATAGTTGCCCTCCCCCAATTTAACACCTTCATCCAAGGTCCACTCTTGTCCTTATCCATAAGTATCTGAAAACTTATGGAATTATGGTCACTATTCCCAAACTGCTCCCCCATTGAAACTTGGACTATCTGGCGGGGCTCTTTTCCCTAAACCAGGTCCAGTGTGATTCCTTCCCTCGTTGGACTGTCACGTATTGTTTCAAAAAGCTCTCCTGGACACACCTAACAAATTGCTCTCCATCCAAACCCTTGGCAGTAAGGGGATCCCAGTCAATAGTGGGGAAGTTAAAATCACTCACAACAACAACACTGTTATTTTCACATTGAAATAACTCGACAGAGGCTTGTATCCCATTACCAAGTCACCCTTTATTTACACATGGATAGTACTTGACACTTGTCTGACTTCCTCAGAGCCAGCTCTCAGAGTGAACAGAGCTTCTGACACTCCTGTATATATCTGTCAGCCAGGACTCCCTGATTGGACCAGATTAACAGCGCCAATCAGGGAACTCACATTCTATGAGGTCCACCTGGCTGATTTTGTTACAATCAATAAACACATCTTTCCAGAATCTGATTACATGTCTCTTCCTCTATCTCCTGCTGACAGCTGGGAGGTCTGTAGTACAATCCCAGCATTGTGATTACACCCTTCCTATTCCTGAGCTCTACCCATAGTGCCTTTAAGCAAAGTCCCTCCAGGGTGTCCTCCCACAACAAGGCTGTGATATATTCCTTTACCAGTAACGCAGCTCCCCTTTCTCTTTTGCTTCCTTCTCTGTCTCGTCTAAAACATTGATATCCTGGAACATTAGGCTGATAATTCTGTCTCTCTTTCAACCAAGTCTCTGTGATAGCAACAACATCGTAATTGCATGCATTAATCCAGGCTCTAAGTTCATCATCTTACCTGCTATATTTCTTGCATTGAAGCTAACATAATTCAAGCTATTAGTTCCGTTGAGCTCAGCAATTGCTCCCTGACCATTCTTCCTCTTAGCTATATTTCTCTTAGTCTCAAACTGTTCACCAGTCTCTATTCTTACTGACCTGCTGGTTTGGTTCCAACCCCCACTGCCCCTAGTTTAAACCCTCTCAAGTGGCACTATCAAACCTCCCTGCCAGCATATTGGTGCCCCTCCAGTTTAGGTGCAACCTCTCCTTGTGCAGGTCCCACCTTCCCTGGATGACATCCCAATGATTCACATATCTGAAGCCCTCCCCACTTCACCAGCTCCTTAGCCACACGTTCAATTGTACTCTGTCTCTGTTTCTGGCCTCAGTAGTATGTGGCACGGGAGTAATCCTGAAATTACTACCCTAGGGGTCCTGCTTTTTAGTTTAC